AGTTTACAGAGTGCAGTGGTCAGGAGTATGCAACACACAGTCTAGTGTAAAGAGAGCAGGGGTAAGAATGATATAATGTATCATGCAGCACACAGGGTAGTGGATAGGAGAATGCAACGAACAACACAGCCTACAGATTTCAGCAGGATTATGTAATGTACAGCACACATTACATGCTCCAGGGGCATCTTTAAATAGTGCGCCCCTGCACTGTCATGCCGGCTAGACGCGCCCCCCGGCTTAAATACTCTCGCCGCATGACCCTTGGAGCCCTGACACATTACATGCTGACCATAATCTATGTGCTGTGTGACATTTTTTTTGCCAAAGCTCCTAAACTCTACTCCATAAAAGCCTGTGTGACCATGTACATATAGGCTTTTAACAGACTTTAGGAGCTTCCATGTTTAGGTGAGGTTAAATCTCCCTCTCCTGAACGCAGAAGAATTGTGTTCAAGATAGGAATGTTTTGATCGCCAACTGCGAGGGGAAACCGCAAAATGCGGCACAACCGCGGCAAAATCGTGGTACCGCGGTTGCCGTGTTTTGCAGCGGTTTTTGTTAAATCTCCCTCTCCTGAACGATTTGCAAGATAGGAATGTTTTGGTTCCCCAACGGCCGGGATCAGTTGCCGTGATAGCGGGCTCGATTTGTTACGTGGACGTGGCCTTAGGCAGCTGCTGGTCTGCATTGTGCCGATTCCCTGAAAACCGCACATTGCACTGTAACTTTTTATTGTTCTGAGGAAATGTTACAAAATCACATTAAACTGAGTTCTATGTACCACAGCAGCATTGCAAAATCATCCTCATTGTTTTTTTTAATTAGTATTATGCAGTTTAGCACTGCAATCTTCAATGAAATGTAACCATTGCTAAACTGATGAATCCACATTTGTATATATGAACTGCTATAGTTACATGTAGCATTACCTATATACAAGTTAATCCATGGTTAGCAACGTATCCTGTTCAGCAGCACAAGTGAATGTGTGCACTAAAATAAATAGCCTGGGGTGTGTTCCTGCTGAGCCAAACACCATAAAGACTCTTGCTCTGTTCTTTTTCATTGGAAATGTATACTATATTGCCAGAAGTATTGGGACGCCCTTCCAAATTATTGGATTCAGGTGTTCCAATCACCTCCATGGCCACAGGTGTCTAAAATCAAGCACCTAGGCATGCAGACTGCTCCTACAAACATTTGTGAAAGAATGGGTCGCTCTCAGGAGTTCAGTGAATTCAAGTGTGGTACTGGTGATAGGTTGCCACCTGTGCAATAAGTCCATCAGTGAAATTTCCTTACTACTAAATATTCCACGGTCAACTGTTAGTGGTATTATAACAAAGTGGAAGCAACTGGAAACAACAACAACTCAGCCATGAAGTGGTAGGCCACGTAAATTGACAGTGCGGGGTTAGCGCATGTTGAAGCGCACAGTACACAGAAGTCGCCAACTGTCTGCAGAGTCCATAGCTAAACACCTCCAAACTTTGTGTGGAATTCAGATTAGCACAACTGTTCGTAGAGTTTCAATGGGTTTCCATGGCCGTGCAGCTGCATACAAGCAACAAGTTATTAAATTGATATTCTCATTACTTTTATAAAATCTTAATTTTAGAAATAAACATTTAATACAGGGTGTTTCTATGACACTGTGTTTACGGAGCATTCTGCACGTTCTAATAAGACAGTCCAGCAGAAGTTGCTCACTTTGTACTGTCTCTCTCTTTAACTGATACCATACAGAGATGTGCACTACAGAAAGGGAAAGGGGCTTTGTTCTTCATCTGATTTTTTTTATTATTATTATTATTATTATTATTAATAATTATTATACAGGAGTTATATAGCACAACAGTTTTTCTCAGCACTTTACAATATAAAGGGAGACAATACAGCAACAATACAGTTCAATACAAGAGGGTTTGGAGGACCCTGCTCCTTGGAGCTTACAATCTAAGAGTAAGATTTATGCAGTTGTGCATGCTATTTAAAGTGGTTTAAACCTGACATGAAAAACAAACGAAACATATCCTTCTATAGTGTGTACTTGACTTAATCCAAAGCACTGAGTGTGATTTCTATCTGCAGTCCCTTTCCTCTGTTAGCTACATTTCTGAAAGGTTGTGTTGACTCCAAGGGGATAGGGTAGGGGAGCTCCAGCATATGGCCTGTGATTGACAGCCTCAGCTGTGCATGTTTCCCTATGTGATTGTGGAAAGTGAGATGTGTCCTTGCCCTCCACTTCACTTTCAGAATTCATTCAGCTGTTTTGTCTGAGCTGTGCAGTGTGTGATGTCAGATCCTTGTCCCATGCCTCTAGAATGTAGGTGGGGTGCAGCATGGTGCTACGTCAATGACATACACAGTCCTAGTGCGATAAAAAACTTTTAAAATAATGCAAAGATAGTTCACAAACAGCCTTGTGGGAAGGCAGCCCAGCCGGGAACACTCTTAGTTCCAACGACATGTAGAGCATGTAAGATTCAGTCAAACTGACAGTGCCTGTTGAGAGGGGCAGAATACGGCCTGGCCATCTTGTGCCCAAGCAGGAGGATGTCCAGGAAGGTTGCAAACCCCATGCTTTCCCACCTCATCAGAAACCATTCCCTGCCACTAGTTATGTCTCTACCAGGCAGGGTACCTGTCACTACTCTACCAACTCACAAAAAAAGTGCACCAAACTGGGCAGCAAGGACCTTAAAAAGGCTTTGCCTGACTCAAGATGGCTGCTAGAGTCACATGGGGCAGGAACATCCAGTGGGATATCTTCCCCAGTGACCCCGGAAACTATAATGTTCCTCTTGACCTCTGTGGAAGAGTAGCACCTGCAGTGAAGAAAGTAGACTGCACTTCCTCACAAGAATCTTGGACAAGCTGTGTAAATTCTAGACCGGGGCGGACTGACAACTCATGGGGCCCCCGGGCAATAGGGGATCATGGGGCCCCTGTGTCCTTGCCCACACTCAAAAAAGCCTATAAAAAGGGTACCAGGGGCCCCCTACTGGCCCTGGGCCCTCGGGCAGTGCCCGAGTGCTCGAATGGTCAATCCGCCCCTGTTCTAGACTTTAAAATGATATAGAGAAGAGATGGCTTCAGATAAACAGGTACAACTTATGTAGGATGATTTATTTAATCTCTGTATATCACCTGAGGCCAGTCATTTTAATGGGTATATGTAAGGGTTTACAACCACTTTAATAGTGCTGACCAACAGGGTACTAGACTACACTCTCATCATAGCATGGAAGAACTGCTGCAAACATTCAGTTAGATGATGATAGTGCCCCACCTACTGGTTGAACATGGTAACTATGAAATGCTTGGATCATTGCTCTTTAATTGTTAAAATGTCAGGTATTCATTTCTGTTCATGACCCTGTTGGGGAAATTTCCTGTCATGGTCACTGGAAATCTATTCAATACAACTACAGCTTTAAAAACCTGAGATTTTTTGAAACTTTTTTTACTGCCACCAATGTGAAGGTGAGGGAGGTTATGACAAAGCAGAAATGCCTGCAGCAAGCTGGCTTAGTGACCCCTACATCAGCTGCATTTAAGCTGGGATCTTATAGTTGCCGGAAAGACCAAGAGCCTACAGCCAAACTTTGTCTGGGGCTTTGCTATTTCATGAATAGATATGATTGGATTGTAAGCTCCAAGGAGCAGAGCCCTCCTAACCCTCTTGTATTGAACTGTATTGTTGTTTCATTGTCTCCTGTTATATTGTAAAGCGCTGAGCACAGTGAGCTATATAAATCTTGTATAATAATAATTGGAAGTTGACCCCCCCCCCCCCCCATTCCCTTGCGCTCATAGCTGTAGCAAACTTCCCCTACTTCTATTGTTGCTGGTCTCTTTGTGGGCTCGCATTTCAAGATGGAGATTGGACGAGATCAGTGAACATGACTTCCTTGTTCATTGATCTCTTACTTCCTGTAATTGAATCAAGAAGTGTTCAATCATGAGCACTTCCTGGTTCACTGTCATTGCTGTTAGCAGAGGAGAAGGGGATTGAGGGCTATTAAAAATGTAAAGTGACCCTATCACTACACGGTCACTTATAAAAGAAGATAATGGTGGGAATTTATCAAAATTAGAGCAGTCCAAATCTGGAGTAGGTGTGCATGGCAACCAATTGGCTTATATCTTTCAGCATCAAAGCTTAGTTAAACAAGTTAAAGATAAAAGCTGATTGGTTGTCATGTGTATCTACTTAAGATTCTGTCTGCTGTGGTTTTAATATAATCCCCCAACACATTAAAGGTGGCTATTGCTGCAGTTACCCTATTAGTAACAGTGAAAGAAATATTTTGGGTGAGAACCTTCTTCCCTTAGCCAGGGCATTGAAAATGGGTCGTATGGGATGGGTGTTCCAGCATGACAATGACCCAAAACACATGGCCAAGGCAACAAAGGAATAGCTCAAGAAGAAGCACATTAAGGTCCTGGAGTGGCCTAACCAGTCTCCAGACCTTAGACCAATTGAAAATCTGTGGAGGGAGCTGAAAGTTCAAGTTGCAAAACGTCAGCCACCAAACCTTAATGACTTGGAGAGGATCTGCCAAGAGGAGTGGGCCAAAATCCCTCCTGAGATGTGTGCAAACCTGGTGGCCAACTACTACCAACTAAATGTCTGACCTCCGTGATTGCCAACAAGGGATTTGCCACCAAGCACCAAGTCATGTTTTGTGAAGGGGATCAAATACTTATTTCCCTCATGAACATGAAATCAGTGCATCATTTGTTGGACATGCATTTCTTTTGAATTTTTTGTTGCTATTCTGTCTCTGTGTTACAATACACCTACCATTCGATTTGTAGACTGATCATTTCTTTGTGAGTGGGCAAACATTCAAAATCAGCAGCAGGGGATCAAATACTTATTTCCTTCACTGTATATACATAGCAAAAAAATGCCATAAATAACATATATAGTATATCACCATTTGAAGTTGTCGTAAATGATGGTTCTCACACTGAGTATTTTCACTTAGGTACGGCATTGCTGGATCCACCAATGTGACAGGGGACCAGGTGAAGAAGCTGGATATTCTATCAAATGATCTGGTTGTTAACATGCTCAAGTCATCATTTAGTAGCTGTGTCCTTGTGTCAGAAGAAGACCAGCATGCACTCATTGTGGAGCCTGAGACAAGGGTATGTACGCAGACTAACTTTACTGTGACTTCCTTGTATCCTTTCAACATGTATGCAGTAATGCCAGCTATCCGATAAATAGAGAGCCTTTGTTATAGAAAAGCTTGTAGTCATTTCCTCACATATGAAGAAATTAGTTCCCTGCCAAGAGCGCCTTCGAAAGTCCATTTTATTTGTAAGTCCAACAAAGTCAGCGGTTGCAGCCAATGGCTGTGATCGCTGATCAGTGGGTTCTGGAAGGGGAGGTCCTCCTGTCAAAACACAAAGGCACAGTAGGAGAGATCTCTGATCTAACATCACTTGTGTGGGCATGACAATCTTTCAGGTTTTTTTTTTGTTCAACCCACTAAATAAGTGTGTGTACCCAGATTTGCATGACTGGACATGCAAATACATGTTTGCATCTATAAAAGTTCGCAACTTAAACATTCGTATGTAGGGGACTTACTGTATTTATGAATTGTGTAAGCTGCTATTCTTTTCTGGAGAAATTGAAAAATATGTTTCAAATAATTATAAATACCCCTTCTACCCCTATAACTCATAGGGCAGCACAGTGGCTAAATGGTTAGCACTTCTTCCTGGCAGTACTAGGGTCATCGGTTCAAATCCCAACCACAGCACCACCTGCCTGGAGTTTGCATGTTCTCCCTGTGCCTGTGTGGGTGCACTCCAGTTTCCACCAACACTCCAAAGGCATGCTGGTAGGTTAATTGGATCCTTTCCAAAATGGCCCTAGTATGTGTATGTATGAATGTAAGTTAGGGACATTAGATTGTACCCTCCATGAGGGTTAGGGACTGTTGTGAATGTATAATATATATGTAAAGTGCTCAAAATAAATGTGGTAGAATCCTCAAAGTACCCCACTCAACCACGCAGTTCTAAATAGAAACAACTCTCCACCCTAGAAAGTTATAAATATCAAAATATTTTCTCTAAAAAGAATCACCCAACCCACTACTAGTGAAAAAATCCCCTGTTCAAAGAATATATTAACACGTGCTTTTCAAATAATAAGTGTCCAAACACATATAATCATACACACTATATCCAAAAGTGTCCAGTGTCTTATAGTACAAAAAAAATTTTTTTTTAAAAACTTAAAAATGAATACGCCCCACTTGAAATCACTTCTTTGTACTGTTGAAGATCCTCAAAGGCCAGCTTCCACAGAGACCCTCAAAGAAATCAAAAACTCAACATAGTGCATTACCTTAATAACCTAATATATAACACTCCACACGTGTATTTAAAATATATAAGTGCAAAAAAAAGTGAAAAAAGAAATAACCACTGCAACTTGTGCCAAAACAGTGATGTGTTCCACTCAGTGTAATCACTTCAATGGTGTATCACTTCTAATACTTATAGCATATATACCTTTACTAGAAAAAAATATCAAAACCGCTGTAAGGTACAGTATGGAGAAGTCCACAACACTACTCAGCCTCCTTGTCTCCACTCCTGACTTTATAATAGTATTCTCATCCCCTCATGGTATCCCCAGCCAGTTCCCCGGTCATTCGGATCCACGCAGGATGTATATGAGACAGTAATAGTGTAACACCATAACATACCATGGAATAAACTTTAATGAATCTGCTTACATGTATATGATAAAATTAGCGCATTTGGAAAAAAACCCCACAGTCTGGGGATTACCAAGCAGCTTCTGGGTGGATATCCATGCGATTCCCAACTCCAAGATGGCCACCGTATCACTTCCGGTTCATGCTCGTACGTCTGACGTCACTTCCTTGACGCGTTTCGTCACATCCAGGACTTAATCTTAAGGGATAGACACGTTGGACCATCACTCTTTGATATAGTCAGCTCAGTCAATTAACGAAGCGCCGGCCGCCATTTTAAATGAGGGAAACAAGCCCATACTTCTCTGAATAATGCCATACAGCTTGGATAAGTGTCTTAGATAACAGATAGATACATAGCAATATAACGAATCCTACACTGTATATCCAGCCTCCCTATTCATTAACAATAAATATAATAACACAAATAAATTTACATATTATATAAAAACTACTTAAACACGGAAGATAAAAGATAGATGTCTAAAACTCCCTCAAATATCAAAATTAAAAACCATATAGGATGAGATAGAAATTACAAAAGGGACTAAAATTAGAATAAGATACACAACTACATATATTATATATTATCCCTACATATATATATAAGGATATATCCTTGGTGGATATAAGACTAATCCAATAGTGTCCACATATCTACCACTATTCATAATTAATTAAATAAATAAATATTACATGGTTAATTATAACTAACCCTATGTGTATGTGCGTATGTTAGCTTACATCCCCACCCATATATATACCCATCCTTTTACACCTAAAAATCAGTTGAAAAATTAATAAAAAGTATATAAAAAGATTTTATAAAAAAGATTTTTTAGAGGAATTTTTTAAAAGAATGTTTTCACCAAAAAATCTTCTAAATAATAACAAATATTTTCAAAAATTAGAGATAAAACAATTCAAATCTAATTCAACATTTAATCCTCTGGGTTTGAGTGTCCGTAACTGAAAAATCCAAAATGTTTCATTTTGTGATAAAGACTTGATTTTATCACCCCCCCCCCCCTCCAATGGGCATCTATAGAGTCAATGCCACAGAATTTCAGGGCTCCCGGATTACAATCATGTACATCCCTGAAATGTCTGGACAAACAGTGGTCCTTTTTACCTTTCCTTATATTGGTAACATGCTCTCTCAGTCTTTTATAGAGGGGTCTAGATGTCCTACCTACATACTGTAGGTGGCATGAACATTCTAAAACATAAGTTACGAATGCCGTTCTACAGGTGATAAGGTCTTTTCCAAATGCGCTAATTTTATCATATACATGTAAGCAGATTCATTAAAGTTTATTCCATGGTATGTTATGGTGTTACACTATTACTGTCTCATATACATCCTGCGTGGATCCGAATGACCGGGGAACTGGCTGGGGATACCATGAGGGGATGAGAATACTAATATAAAGTCAGGAGTGGAGACAAGGAGGCTGAGTAGTGTTGTGGACTTCTCCATACTGTACCTTACAGCGGTTTTGATATTTTTTTCTGGTAAGGGTATATATGCTATAAGTATTAGAAGTGATACACCATTGAAGTGATTACACTGAGTGGAACACATCACTGTTTTGGCACAAGTTGCAGTGGTTATTTCTTTTTTCACGTTTTTTTTGCACTTATATATTTTAAATACACGTGTGGAGTGTTATATATTAGGTTATTAAGGTAATGCACTATGTTGAGTTTTTGATTTCTTTGAGAGTCTCTGTGGAAGCTGGCCTTTGAGGATCTTCAACAGTACAAAGAAGTGATTTCAAGTGGGACGTATTCATTTTTAAGTTTTTAAAAAAAAAATTTTTTGGGAGTGTAAGACACTGGACACTTTTGGATATAGTGTGTATGATTATATGTGTTTGCACACTTATTATTTGAAAAGCACGTGTTAATATATTCTTTGAACAGGGGATTTTTTCACTAGTGGTGGGTTGGATGATTCTTTTTAGAGAAAATATTTTGATATATGTAAAAGTGTGCCTAAATTGATGGGGCTATATAAGTACTTGTAATAAATAAATAAGTCATGACTTTATCTGATTTTTTCATAGCACGTAGAGTCAGAAGATGCATAGTTGTGTTCAGTTGTGAAATTAGCTGTGATCAGCTCTACTACATTGCCCTCTAGTGTTTGAATGTGTTATTACATTCATAATTTCCAGAAATTGAAGCATATCAGAGATTACAAATACAGGCGTACCTTGGTTTATGAATTTAATGCGTTCGCCGGGACGTTTCGTAATGGGAAAAAATCGTAAACCAAAACACGGTTTCCCATAGGAATGCATTGAAAACCAATTAATCTGTTCCGGAGGTCAGAAAAAAGTTTAAAAAAAGTATTTTATTTTAACTCTTTATAAAGTGCACTTTAAAGGCATAAATACTGTACAGGGACATGATTAAAAATTCGATGCAAATACCGCTTCAACACCTCCACACTTGACGCCACGTGCTACCCACAGACTTCAGCATGCACAAAGCCGGCGCTATAAACCTCCCAGGCGCAATTCATCCTGGGGAAACTTGCTTTGTATTGCAAAAAAAATTTGTAAATGCATTGAAAACCAATTAATCCATTCTGGAGGTAAAAAAAAGTAAAAAAAAATCTTATCTGTTCAAAACTCTTTATTAGGTGCACTTTAAAGGCATAAATACTGTACAGGGACATGATTAAAAATTTCCAGAATGGCTCCAAAACTCGATGCAAAAACTGCTCTAACACCTCCACAGTAGATGCCACGTGATACCCACAGACTCCAACATGCACGGAGCCGGTGCTATAAACCACAAGGAGCAATTCATCCTGGGGAAACTTGCTCTTTATTGCGAAAAAAAAATCATAAATGCATTGAAAACCAATTAATCCGTTCTGGAGGTCAGATAAAAGTAAAATAAAAGCCTTATCTGTTCAAAACTCTTTATAAAGTGCACTTTAAAGGTACGGGGCTGGCGCTATAAACCTCCCAGGCACAATTCATCCTGGGGAAACTTGCTTCGTTTTGCGAAAATGGTTAGCATTTCCGCCTGGCGGTACTAGGGTCGTTGGTTCGAATCACAGCCACGGCACCTCCTGCCTGGAGTTTGCATGTTCTCCCTGTGCCTGCATGGGTTTCCACACTCCAAAGACATGCTGGTAGGTGAATTGGATCCTGTCTAAATTGGCCTTTGTATTTGAATGTGAGTTAGGGACCTTAGATTGTACGCCCCTTGAGGGTTATGGACTGATGTGAATGTACAATATATGTGTAAAGCGCTGCGTAAATTGACAGCACTATATAAGTACCTGCAATAAATAACCAATTAATCTGTTCCGGAGGTAAAAAAAAATCTTATCTGTTCAAAACTCTTTATAAAATGCACTTTAAAGGCACGGGGCCGACGCTATAAACCTCCCAGGTGCAATGCATCCTGGGGAAACTTGCTTTGTATTGCAAAAATAAAAATTAACCGAGGTGTTCGTAAACCGAGGTACACCTGTATTCCGTAACCATGTAGGTCATAGAAATCAGTGAGAAAATGTAACTGTATGATAATTGTATGCAGTTGTATAACATTTACTTGCTGAGGTGCAAAATAAAAAAAAATCATTTGATATTAAAATGGTTATATAGCGACTACTAGTTCAGGTTTGTTGATTTGCTAATTGTATGTAAAATACCTGACTTCTGTTAGCTCTCAAGCTGTTAATAATGTTTAATGTCTTGCAGGGCAAATACATTGTGTGCTTTGATCCTTTGGATGGTTCTTCAAACATTGACTGTCTTGCATCCATTGGTACAATTTTTGCCATCTATAGAAAGGTAAGGATTCCCCAGAGGTATAATTCCCACAATGGCAGTAGTAGATACTGTAAAATGATACCACTGCACACATCGAATAAGAGCCACTGTTTACCTTTCAGTAGTTAAAGTCTATGGGAATTCAAAAATGTCTTTTTTTTGGACTTGAATGAGTGGTTTATTCACATTCTACTGCATTACTGCTTTTTTTGCCTTCAGTATTAACATCATGGTCATTTGGGCAGTTTAACAGGAGAGAAAACTGCAAATAATGAAAAATCTGATCCTGGATTCGTATTTGCATGGTTCGGCTTCATTCTTTTGCATTTTTCTCTTTTTTTCAAACACCACCTGCCCACCACACCAGACATATGCTTTCAAATGGGTCAAGTGGGTCATAAAAATGGTGCTCCTCTGAACACACCTACTAAATGCTGATAAGCATTGGCTCTTCTATGTCTTAAGGGCTTGAGTAGTTGGGTGATTTTAGATGGTTCAGTTGACATGTCCTAACTGGTAATGGGGTCCAATTGCCCTCTTACCCATTTACCATAACCCAAGCAGTGAAAAAACAGACTTCTCCACCTCATTTTTACAAATGAACACATAAGAATGATAATCATAAATGAGTCTGTCACACACAAATGTCTCTTTAAATTGCCCCATTAGCCCCAATTCACACTGAATACAACTTTGAAATCCTGCGAATTCATTTGAAGTCGCACGATTTCAAAGTCGCATGTCAGTGCGACTTATAAGACATCTGTGCAACTTCATGCACAGATGTAGTGCAGGAACTACTTTTCAAATCGGTGCGACTCCAAAGTTGGAGTTGCACCGATTAGAATTGTTCCATTGCCGATCATAGGGCATGACTGGTCATGCATAGCAAGTCGCATTGAGCTTAATAGTAAAACTCAATCTCTAACTCAACTGTGGTGTGTTTTAACCTTAATTTCCAAAAACTTGCTGTACACACAGCTCTTTTACAAGCTTAAGCCCACGTGAACATGGCCACAATTACCATAATATTGCAGCAGATACTTGCAGCCACAAAGTTCAGCTAAGCACTGTATTGACAAACCCGCCACTTTTATTAGAAAGAACTAGACCTCAACAGGGACATGTTTTACTGTTGTACAGTATACCGCATTTTTCAATACACATGTCTGCAAAAATTGTCTTTCTTAACCTCTTTTTGCTTGTCTTAATAATAAAACACATGAAATACATAGACATTCACTTTAATTTAGCAAATGTTTGCTTGTTGTTTATTATTATAAAATGTACCTCAAGTTTCTAAATGAAAAATACATTGCTTTTTGTTCCAGGTCTCAGATGGTGAGCCTAGTGAAAAAGATGCTTTGCAACCAGGACGTAACATTGTAGCCGCAGGGTATGCATTGTATGGAAGTGCCACAATGCTGGTCCTTGCCACAGAGTGTGGAGTGAATTGCTTCATGTTGGACCCTGTAAGTTCTATTCAATTTCCTATGTTTTTATACTGTGTGTATAAGTGTGTGTGTATATATATATATATATATATATATATATATATATATATATATATATATATATATATATATACACAGTGGATATAAAAAGTCAAGTTTCTGTGATGTAAAAAAATTAGACAAATCACTTCAGAACTTGTTCCACCTTTAATGTAACCTATAAACTGTACAACTCAGTTGAACAACAAACTGAAATCTTTAGGTGGAGGGAAGTAACAGTAAAAAACGAAAATGATATGGTTGCATAAGTGTCCACACCCTTAAACTAATACTTTGTTGAAGCACCTTTTGATTTGATTCCAGCACTCAGTCTTCTTGGGTATGAGTCTATCAGCACGGCACATCTTGACTTGGAAATATTTGCCCACTCTTCCTTGCAAAAACACTCCAAATCTGTCAGATTGTGAGAGCATCTCCTGTGCACAGCCCTCTTCAGATCACCCCACAGATTTTCGATCGGATTCAGGTCTGGGCTCTGGCTGGGCCATTCCAAAACTTTAATCTTCTTCTGGTGAAGCCATTCCTTTGTTGTTTTGGAAGTATGTTTTGGGTCATTGTCATGCTGAAAGATTAAATTCCTCTTCATGTTCAGCTTTCTAGCAGAAGCCTGACGGTTTTGTGCCAATATTGACTGGTATTTGGAACTGTTCATAATTCCCTCTACCTTGACTAAGGTCCCAGTTCCAGCTGAAAAAAAACAAACAGCCTCAAAGCATGATGCTGCCACCACCATGCTTCACCGTGGGTATGGTGTTCTTTTGGTGATGTGCAGTGTTGTTTTTGCACCAAACATATCTTTTGGAATTATGGCCAAAAAAGTTCAACCTTGGTTTCATCAGACCATAACACATTTTCCCGCTTGCTTTTGGGAGACTTCAGATGTGTTTAAATTTAGCCAGGCTTGGATGTTTTTCTTCGTAAGAAAAGGCTTCCGTCTTGCCCCTTAGCCAAGACATATGAAGAATACGGGAGATTGTTGTCACATGTACCACACAGCCAGTACTTGCCAGATATTCCTGCAGCTCCTTTAATGTTGCTGTAGGACTCTTGGCAGCCTCCCAGATCAGTTTTCTTCTCATCTTTTCTTGTCCAGTTCTTGGTAATGTCACTGTTGCCTCATATTTTCTCCACTTGATAATGACTGTCTTCACTGTGTTCCATGGTACTGTATATCTTATGCCTTGGAAATGCTTTTATACCCTTCTCCTGACTGATACATTTTAACAATGAGATCCCTCTGGTGCTTTGGAAGTTCTCTGCGGATCTTGGCTTTTGCTGTAGGATGTGACTACGAAAATGTCAGGAAAGACCTACTAGAACAGCTGAACTTTATTTGGGGTTAATCAGAGGCAATTTAAATGATGACAGGTGTGTACTGACTCCTATTTAACATGATTTTGAATGTGATTGCTTATTTCTGAACACAGTTACATCCCCAGTTATAAGAGTATGTGCACACCCCCCCCCCCCCCAAAAAAAAATTACAGTTTCTTTTTCAAATGAGTTGTACAGTTTATAGGTCACATTAAAGGTGGAAAACAGTTCTGAATTTATTTATCTTTGTCTCATTTTTTTACATCACAGAAACCTGACATTTTAACAGGGATGTTTATGTGTATATATATATATATATATATATATATATATATATATATATATATATTATTATTATTATACAGGATTTATATAGCGCCAACAGTTTGCTCAGCGCTTTACAATATAACGGGAGACAATACAGCAACAATGCAGTTCAATACAAGAGAGAAAGGAGGGCCCTGCTCCTTGGAGCTTACAATCTAGGATATATATATATATATATATATACTATTTATATATATAAAACTAAAACTTGGTTTTACAAATAAACATTTAAAGTAGTAGTAAAGTCATTTTTTTTTTCCTGTACCTACAGGTAAGCCTATATATATTAACCTCTTGCCGACCGCGCATAGCCGAATGACGGCTTCACCGCGGCCGGCCAGTTCTGAGTGGACGTCATATGACGTCCTCCCAGAACGCGCTCTCCTGCGCGCCCCAGGGGGGCGCGCACCCGGCGATCTCCGTGATCGCTGTGTCCTACGGACACAGCTGATCACGTGATGTGGTGAAAGGCCGATCCCACCGGCCTTTTACCACGTGATCAGCGGTGTCCAATGACACGCTGATCACAGGGAAATGCAAGTGCCGGTTCTCGGCTGCACTTTCCTCATGCTGTCAGATCGTGAGGAAAGTACTGCCGAGAACCGGCAGTTGTCAGAGCGGGGATCGGCACCTATCATCAGGGCACTAATGATCAGTGCCCTGATGATCGGTGCCCAGCAGTGACACCCGCAAGTTCCGACCAGCAGTGCGCCCACTAGCCCGCCCACCTGTGCCCAGCAGTGCCCCCACCTGTGCCCAGCAGTGCCCCCACCTGTGCCACTCTGCCTGTGCCCAGAAGTGCCACCTACATGTGCCCAGCAGTGCCACCCACCTGTGCCCACCCACCTGTGCCCACCCACCTGTGCCCACCAGTGCCACCCACCTGTGCCCACCAGTGCCACCCACCTGTGCCCGCCCACCAGTGCCGCCCACCAGTGCCGCCCAGCAGTGCTGCCAGTCAGTGCCACCAGTCAGTGCCCAGGGGTTGTGCCAGTCAGTGCCGCCAGTCAGTGCCCAGAAGTGATGCCAGTCAGTGCCGTCTATCAGTACCCATCATCAGTGTCACCTATCAGTGCCGCCTATCAGTGCTGCATATCAGTGCCGCCTATCCGTGACCCCTAATTAGTGCTGTCTATCAGTGCCGCCTATCCGTGCCACCTCATTAGTACTGCCTATCAGTGCCCTTTAGTGCTGCCTATCAGTGCCCATCAGTGCCGCCTATCAGTGCCCATCAGTGCCGCCTCATCAACGCAAATCAGTGAAGGAGAAAAAATACCTGTTTGAAAAATTTTATAAAAGAAACAAATAAACTTTTTTTTTTTTTTTTTTCAAATTTTTTGCACTTTTTTTAATTTATAGCGCAAAAAGTAAAGCGCCCAGTGGCGATTAAATACCACCAAAAGAAAGCTCTATTTGTGAGAAAAAAATGATCAAAATTTCATTTGGGTACAATGTTGCATGACCGCGCAATTGTCAATCAAAGTGCGGCAGCGCTGAAAGCTGAAAATTGGCCTGGTAAGGAAGGGGGTATAAGTGCCTGGTAGGCAAGTGGTTAAGGCTTACCTGTAGGTACAATAAATATCTTCTAAATGTGCACTGTTACCTTAGCGCCAGTGATGTCACCAGCGCATGAACACTGTGCTCCAAATGGACGGAATGCCATCCATTGAGAGGGCTGTGCCAGAGCTGAGGCTCCCTCGTGCATGCGTGAGAGTGGTGTCATCGCAGTTTGGCCAGTCAGGGAGCTGAGACAGTGCTGATGCATACTAGCACATACTCGTTTGAGATACATACTAGCACATTATGCTCTTAAATTTCAGGGAGATTTTTAGTTAGCTGAAAAGAGAGCACAGCATTGGCTCCCTTATTCTGAATGAAACCTTCTAATAGGGGATGAGCCACTGCAAAAAGTCATTGACATTTGTGTGTACATTTCAGTTTAGAAGAGATGTGTCGCTTCCCCCAAGGGACAAAGTACATGTAACACCCGGTCCTGTACTGATCCTTAGCTGCCTTCTGCATTAAAAGCGCAAACTCCATCTCAAGCTAAAGCCCAATCTATGGATCTTCCTATAGGGGAGGTACAGCACAACCTTGTAATCACTGCCCTCTCTCTAAGGTTGCTTTCACACTGATTTATTTTTCTTCCGCTTTTACGTTTCAGAAAATGTTGTGTTTTTGGCGCAGTTTTTGAGTCGCATGTTTTAAAAAGCTCACCGCAAATGTGGTAAAAAGCGCCAAAAGCACTGTAAGAACTCATATGCTTTTTTTTCCACAGATCAGTATGAACGTCTAAGATTTCAACTGTCAGCAGCTGTGCAGCAATGACTTTTCATTCACAAATTCAGCAGTAAATGATCAGTCGGTGCTGGCAGGGTTGTGTGATAGATCTGCAGCTGCTAGTAAATATACATAGTACCAGATCATATCAAAAGCCCCACAGTGCTGACTGATCTCTTACAGTTGAATTTGTGAATAAACAGTCATTGCTGTGGGGCTGTGTGATAGATCTTCTGGCACAGTGTGTGTTTACTAGCAGCTGCAGATCTATCACACAGCCCTGCCAGTGTTTGTGTTCATTCACAAATTCAGTAGTAAACAATCAGTCAGCGCTGCAGGGCTATTTAATAGACCTGCCACTACAGTGTATTAGGTGCATGCTTGAAATGAGTGCCATCATTCAGCACACCAGGGGTTGGGGTCACTTCCATTCACAAAACAAGAAAAAGATTAGTCAGTGCTGAGGAGCTATGTGATCTATCCATAGTATGTTTACTAGCAGCCATAGATCTATCACACAGCCCCACAGCAAAGCTGCGTGATCTATCTGCCAGATGCTAGTAAACATGCACTGCAGCAACAGATAGATCACATAGTCCCTTAGCTCTGACTAATATTTTGCTTGTTTTTTGAATGAAGCTGAACCCACCCCCTGGTGTGCTGAATGACGGCACTCACCTCAACCCTGGTGTCCTGACAGCACCCGTTTCAAGCATGCACCTGCTGCTAGAGACAAGTGGTGACAATCAACCCTCATTGAAAATGTATTTTAGTAGAAGTGTGGTCAGAAAGCAGTCGGAGGAGGGGGAGCAAGCTGTCCCACTACGCTGCTTGCCAGCTGCAGGGCAGATCAGAATGCATTTAGTCTCCTGGGCGATAAATTAATATTTGAAAAATTAAGTTATATTTCTTCTTTAAGCTACTGAGGCTTGTAAACTGCAGGCTTTTTACAATAAAGAGTCAAATGGGAATCTGGCAATATGTGAAACATATCCTAAAGCTCCACCTCCTGGTTCAAAGGAATTATTCAAAATATTAACATAGAAAAAATGCACAAAAGCACTACACATTCCCTTTAAGTGTTTCCCATTTTCTCTCTATATATATGAGGTATGCTGTCGTCATGTATTATTTTGTCGATTTCTAGGCAATCGGAGAATTCATTTTGGTTAATAGAAATGTGAAGGTTAAACCAAGAGGCAATATCTACAGTCTAAATGAAGGCTATGCCAAATACTTTGATGCAGCAGTCACAGAATATCTCCAGAAGAAAAAGTTCCCAGAGGTATGTTTAAATGGTAATCTATGTAGACATGAAGATTTCAGGAAATGCCAGAAGATTCCGTTAGACTAGCCATAGATGGTCAGATGTCTTCCTGAGACTGAGGGGTAGGGAAACATGATGACAACTATGCAGTTGTGCAACTTGACTAATATGATAAAGTGGTGTATAACGCTTAGTACCTGTTTAGCTGAGAAGAGGCAAAGTTTAGGTAAGTTCCACTGAGAGTTTCCAACAACCTTGAAATTCTGTATGTCTGGTAATGGTTGGAATGATATATTCCACTCATTATCAGATATACAGAATTTCAAGGTTACTGGAAATTCTCAGTGGAACTTGCCTAAATCATGGTATGTTGCACTGTACTTTACTGTGCCAAAACTGTTTGACAGATGACCACATGAAAGCAGGTTCTCCTTGACCTTTAACCTTATGGTAGTTTCCCACTCCGCCATGTTGGTAGTACTGCTAGACAGTGGTGTATTTAGGTTTTGTGCTGCCCTAGGCAATACAAAAATGGTGCACACAATCCCCCCCAATGAGAGAGTGAGAGAGTTCAATGATCGTGTGTGTGTATGTATATACAGTTGTGTTAAAAATAATAGCAGACATCACTAACCTGATCAATCACTGTTTTTGGTAGAAATGATATTTCTACATGGCAAATAATTTACTAGCAGGTGTAGTAGAGTAATAGAAATCCAACAGACCCAACAGTCATGACATGCATGCTGCTGATTCTGTGTAATTGAATCACTAATTGAAAGGGGCATGTTCAAAATAATAGCAGTGTGGAGTTCTATTAGTGAGGTCTTTCATTCTTTGAAAAACAGGTGGCAATTATTGCCCTTATTTATGGAAGGAAGGCAGCAAATGTTGTACATGCTGGTTAGAGTGCATTTCTCTCTGAAATTCTGAGGAAAATGGTTCGTTCCAGACATTGTTCAGAAGAACAGCTTACCTTGATTAAAAAGTTGATTGGAGAGGGGAAAACATATAAAGAAGTGCAGAAAATGATAGGTTGCTCAGCTAAAATGATCGCAAATGCTTTAAAATGGCAACCAAAACCTGAAAGACGTGGAAGAAAGCGAAAAAACTACCATTCGAATGGATAGAAGAATAGCCAAAATGGCAAGGACTCAGCCAACAATCAGCTCCAGGAAGATCAAAGAAGGTCTAAAGTTACCTGTGAGTACTGTTACAACTAGAAGACGCCTATGTGAAGCCAAGCTATCTGCAAGAAGCCCCCGCAAAGTCCCACTGTTGAAAAAAAGACTTGTGCTGAAGAGGTTACAATTTGCCAAAGAGCACATTGACTGGCCTAAAGAGAAATGGCGCAACATTTTGTGGACTGATGAAAGTAAGATTGTTCTTTTTGGGTCTAGTGGCCGGAGACAGTTTGTCAGACGACCCCCAAACACTGAATTCAGCCACAGTACACTGTGAAGACAGTGAAGCATGGTTGCACAAGCATCATGATATGGGGATGTTTCTCATACTACGGTGTTGGGCCTATTTATCGCATACCAGGGATCATGGATCAGTTTGAATACATCAGAATACTTGAAGAGGTCATGCTGCCTTATGCTGAAGAGGAAATGCCCTTGAAATGGGTGTTCCAACAAGACAACGACCCCAAACACACCAGTAAACGTGCAACATCTTGATTCCAGACCACAACAAGATTGACGTTATGGAGTGGCCAGCCCAATCCCCGGATCTTAATCCAATAGAAAACTTGTGGGGTGACATCAAAAATGCAGTTTCTGAGGCAAAACCAAGAAATAGAGAAGAACTGTGGAATGTAGTCCAATCATCCTGGGCTGGAATACCTGTTCACAGGTGCCAGAAGTTGGTTGACTCCATGCAACACAGATGTACAGCAGTTCTCAGAAACAGTGCTTATACAACTAAATATTAATTAAGTGATTCAAAGGAAAGCAAAATCTTCAAACATTTTTCAGTTTATATAGTGAATGTTTGAGTTTGTAAAGAAGAATACAAACACTGCTATTTTTTTGAACAGTCTAATATTCACTTTTCTTCAATTTTTTTAGAGGAACAACACAACTTTGATATATTTTTCTTCATGTTTTGATTTGAAATAGAATGTGTAGTGTGCCCAATGCATTTGTGTGTATGGAAATAAAAGCTATTAGAAGGATTTTGAGCTTTATTCACTTTTTTCAACACACTGCTATTATTTTGAACACAACTGTATATATATATAATCATTGAACTCTCTCTCTCACGATTAAATATATATCAATGATTTTTATATATATATATATATATATATATATATAGTATAATGATTATCTATGATATGGTAATTGTTCAATTGTAAAGTGCCAATCAATGTTTGCCAGTAAACCCATCAATCATACAGATTACACAGCTGGGTCTCCTGTATAATATGCATAGCACATGGGCGCTGCATGTCTCCTCCTACCCCTAGAATAAAGCCATCACCCTGATGGTGCCATCACCCTCTCCACCATCAGCAGACCCTGTACCTTCTGTATAGTTTGCTGGGTGACGTCTCCTTTCACTCTGGTCTGAGCAGAAAACATTATCCCAGATATTCCTAATATCTGCACCCTTTCTAGCCAGAGGATACTTAGTCTATGCAGCAAACGGGGGAGACAGTGCCAAATGGTATGACCTGTTCCTGATTCGATGGGATGCACCGGCCAGATTGCAGTTAATTTCTACAGAATCTTAATTTACAAAGTAATAAAAACATTGTGAGAGGTTATAAAATCAGTGGTGTAGCGGGGTGAAGATTTTGGTCCTCCCTGCATGGTATTGGTACGCTCCACAAGCTGGATTTCCTTTCTGTGAGCAAATACGCCCCTGCTGCTAGATATAATACTGCATAGTATAGTTTTCCATATCTCCCAATGTTCTTGAGATGAGCATAAAGTATGCAGGTAAAAGACTGACTCCTGCCCCACCCCCGTTACAGAGACCACAATGATGATTTGTTAAACCCACAAATGCTTTTTTTCTCTACATTGAAATGACACTGGTAGTTGAACAGTACATTTTAATACTGGTCTGGTACCAGAATTACAAAATACTGGTACTTCAGACCAAAAAGAGGCAGCTGAGGAGGAAAGGACAGAAGGATTTGGTTTCAAAAAAGGGACAGTCTCTTCAAATTAGTGACAGTTGGGAGGGGAGAGCTGTGGTTTGCAAGCTTTAAAAAGAGTGTATCTCAGTTGTGCTAGATATATTTTTATTTTTTCTCTTGTAATAGGATGGCAGTTCACCTTATGGAGGACGATATGTGGGTTCCATGGTGGCTGATGTGCACCGAACACTGGTCTATGGAGGAATCTTCTTATATCCTGCAAACTCTAAAAGCCCAAAGGGAAAGGTAACTTCTTTTTTTCTGTATAAAATAGGCAGATGGTCAATGTGGATGTACATTAATGTATGTTATCATAATTATGTATTTATATAGATTGAACACAAATCTTCTGTAAAAGTCAAATGTCTGTTCTTAAATAGTACACGCATACAATACATTGTTTCTATGTTGACCTTCATTCATCTGCTGGTGTATAGAACATAATGTACTAAATAAGGAACGTAAAACACTCTGAATTACTTTGCGTTATCCCCTTACCCCTTTTAGCAGCTGTGCTTAGGTAAAAAAAAATGTATATGATCAATATATTACCATTTGCCAATGTCTGCCCAGTATATAAAGTAAAAACCGATCATTTTCAATTGTACCGTCTAATCAAACAAAACACTGGGTTCCTGAAATTTCTTCATGGTATAAGAGTGTCTAGACAGTTCCCAGTGTAATCCACTGTTGGGGCTCTTTACTAAAACTGGAAAGTACAAAATCTGGTACAACTCTGCATAGAAACCAACCAGCTTTCAGGTTTTATTGTCAAAGCTTAATTGAATAAGCTGAAGTTAGAAGCTGGTTGAGTGCTCCAGCTTTAGTAATCCTACCCTTGTGAGTACTTATAGATTTCATTCACCAAGTACTGAATGCATTAACATTTATCCAGCACAGTATTTTCCAATTGATGATGCAGTTTTGCATTCCTGGTTTTTTTCTTGCAAAATTTCCACCAAAGTGGGCATACAGTATGCATATTATGCTCTGTATCAGTAAAACAAATGTATTGAAACCAGAGGATCAGTATGACACAGCCAACTAGCATTTTTTGGGGAGGTCAGCAGGGACAGCTTACGTATTTTTTTTAGGTGTACTTTAAAATTTAAAGCCCATTAACATGTCACAAATCCTAATCTCCAGTGTACTAATAATAATGATCTAATCTTAATTTCATATTATCTAACAGCTGAGGCTTCTGTATGAGTGCAATCCCATGGCCTTTGTCATGGAAAAGGCTGGAGGAATGGCCACCAATGGACTGGAGAATGTGTTGGATATAGTTCCAGATAGTATTCACCAGAGAATGCCCATAGCCCTGGGCTCTGTAGAAGATGTGAAGGAGTACATAGAGATTTTCAAGAAACACACCAAAAAATGAAAAAGCTGCTGGACTGAATTCCTAGAAAGAGGACCAAAGAACATAATACTTGTCAATGTTTAATGGTGAGCAGATCAATTCTAAACCTGGGTGCTGATTCACAGCAAGTGAATGTTCTGTATGGATCAGCTATCCACTGGGTGAATCAGTTTACTTAGTGAACTGGTAAAGGGGCCATTTGAACATCTTATCAATTCATTTGGAGTGTCTGTCAAATGACAAGCAAAATTCAGTGTCTGCTTTTCAGAATTTTATCCATGATCTTTCATAGATCCTCAGGAACACAACTTTCTAAAATTCGTCAGGTCTGCTTAAAAAATGTGAATAAATTTTTATATTTACCTATGACTAAGTCTTGTGTATTTCTTTAGTCTTCTTAAGAGTTTTTAAAGATGACCCACATTAGCGCCGGGGGCAGAAAGAATGTGGAAAAACCTCAACGATTGCCCCATTGCTGCAGGTAAGCAGGATGTCCTCGAATTCCCTGCTGATCAACAGTTTTACAGGTTTACAAGAAATTGTAAAGGTTTCCTATTATTCTACTTTTTCTACAAAACTGGAGAATGTTTGAAATTTCCTGTTAATGATTACCTTTCATTTTCAACATGAAGCTATCTGTGCAAACTGGTGCAGTACATTGGCATTCATTTTGAATGGCACCCTAATGTACATCCCTAATGCATCACAGACCTGTACTTCAGTGAACACTGGAAACTAAAAAAGTGCAGCTCTGTTACAAAGTGTGTTGTAGTGTGTTGGCAGCCTAGTCAGCCTATTCAGAATAAATAGACTTTATTACCACATGCACGCGAAGGCACAACTAAGCCATTACTATGTATGTAGTAACACTCCGTAAAGGTAGAAGTCTCTTAAAAGTACAGAGTCTTCTGAAATTGTTTGCTTTGGGGGACTACATTTATTAGGAAAGTTTTATTTGCACTGAATGCAGAAAGTTTAGATGATTAGATTTATACAATGTGGTCAGGGTGTGACCATCTGTGACGTCAGCACGCATGCCAGGACCACATGGTGCGATCACGTGACCGCTGTTGCGGGAATCCATAAGGAACCAGTGTGTGGTGAGACAGCAGAAGCGGCGGCCATTATATTGGAAGTGCTGTGTTCACAATGTGCATTATTTTTTAACTCAATGTGAGTGATATTTTAAGGGGGGATTTTTAAGGCAATAAATGTGTTTACAGAATCACACTATGTGGCTGTTTTATTTTACCCATATATGGATTGCAAATAACATCATATAATCTGGATGATGAGGAGATCGGGGCGAGAGTGATCCATGTTATACTGATTGGAGGTTGTTGTTTTGGGTCACTGACCGATTATCTTACTATCGCTTTTACAACCATTCAGCAATAAGGAGGTTGATTTGCTACTGAGTTTCCACTGCTGTTTATTCACCAGCTTCTGGTGAGTGTTACGTTCAATGAGGTGATAATCACTGCAGGATCAAATGGATGGTGGATCAAGTTACCTTAAAGAGATATCACATCACTGAAATGAACTGAACTTTTTTCACACTATTTGTTTCACTTTGCTGGAACTTTTACTAATACATATTTTTTTTTTCTTTTATAATTTGTTTGTTATTGGATATTGGTTTATTTTAGATCCTTTTATTAAAGGGCAATTTAATATGACGGAGCACTGGTTATGTGTACCTTTCTAGTCACTGTATATTGATTTTATGAGTTGTTTAAAATGGCTGCTTTGGTATACTATATTTATTATTTAATTTATGTGTCACTTTCATCATCACTAAAGCGCAGAGATATAGGCTGACATTTACAGCTTATATACTGTTTATATAGATCTATACAATGCTGGAACTGAACCTTTGCTTGTAGCGAATGTGGAAACTTCCAATCAGCAGAAAGTGGGCTATACCTGACCTTTAGCTCAGAAAGCAAGCTTTATACAATTTATAATAAATCTAAGAGTCACTCCTACTGAGCTATTGACCAGAATCAATCTGTTACAACAATGGTTTAAAACTAAATCCTAGCTTGGACCAATGTAGATATGTACGTGCAAGGCTGGTGCTAAACCATTTTGCACCCTAGGCAAGACCAGCTACTTGTGCCCCCCCCCCCCCCCAAATAAATAAATAAATAATTCTAAAACCAACAGAAAATATTAAATCAACAAACTATGAAACTGCTAAATTTCTTTTAATTTGCAAAAATAATTGCCATAAGATGCCACCAGCACCAATTTTAACCATTAGCCGCCCGGCCAATGGCCGTTTGGCGGCTTCAAAAGTGTCTCTGCACTCCGGGTGCACGCCATTTGGCGTGCTCCCGCACATGCGCAGTTTGCGCTAATGCAGAGCGGCGCAGCAGTGCGATCTGTCACCGGCCGTGCACCTTGGACACGGCCGATGACAGATCCGAGTACCGGCTCCCGTTACTGGTACCATGTGACCTGCTGTGACCAATCACAGCAGGTCACATGACAGTTGTATACAATGGATGGCTTCATTCATGATGCCATCCATTGTATACTAGTGCCTAGCTGTGAATGGTCACAGCTAATCACATTCACATGTCATGTGATTAGCTGTGACCAAATCACAGCTAAGCACAAAAAAAAAAAAAAAAAAAAAAAAGCTGAATGAATCGATTTCATTCAGGTAAATGCTTGCTTATAGCAAAGTAATTCTTTGCTATAAGCAAATTGTGTAAAAAAAAAAAAAAAATACTGATCACTTCCCCAAAGTAGTACAATGTTACTATGGTAACATTGTACTACTTTGGTCATAGTAAAATATGAAAAAAAAATCTTAAAAAAAATAAAAAAAAATGTAATAAAAAATTAAATATAATAAAAAAATAAAAAAATATATATATATTTTTTTTTTTCATACTGTCACCAGTCAGTGTCCCTGTTCACCGCCATGCCAGTTATATGATGACGCTGTACTGCACTGGTGACAGTATGTAAAAAAAAAAATAGTGAAAATAATTTTTTTAATTTTTTCATTTTCCAAAAAATTATGACAAAAAAAATACAACTTCAAAAAACTCACCATGCCTCTTATGAAGTACGTCGGACTGTCTACTCTGCAAAAAGGGGTCATTTGGGGATATCTGTACTATTCTGACATTCTTGGACCTCAAGAAATTATATTGGCTGTCAGTACTTCAGGATTGATCAATATTCAGATCTATACCATAGTTTGTGAACTCTATAACTTTCCTACAAACTAAATAATACATCCTAATTTGGGTTATTTTCACCAAAGACATGTAGCAGAATACATCTCGGCCTAAATTTATGAAGAACAATTATTTATTTGTAAACTTTTATAACAGAAACAAAGAAAAATGTGTTTTTTTTTCAAAATTTTTGGTCTTTTTTTGTTAATTTAGCAAAAAATAAAAACCCCAGCGGTGATTAAATACCACCAAAAGAAAGCTCTAGTTGTGTGAAGAAAATGATAAAATTTTAGTTTGGGTACAATGTTGTATGAGAGCGCTGAAACCTGAAAAATGGCCTGGGCAGGAAGGTGTAAAATTGCACGGTATTGAAACGGTTAAAGACAAAATATATGTTAACCAAATATAAATGGACTGTATTAACCAACGAGACAGAAATAAACAAATAAAAAAGGGGATTGAGTTACAAAACTCTACAGTGATCAGCATCTGCCAGCCAGCTTGCAGTAAGGGACTGTGTCTGAGAGGAACACTGGAAGGAGCTGCAGCTCAGCAGCTACACTGGCCCCAGACACCCAGCATCTTCCTCTGTCTTTTCTTCCTACCCCTCTGCTGCCCCTCCCTTCACCTGAAGGATCATTCATGACGTAGCGGTGTCCCACACGATCAATCAGCATCTGCTCCCCCTCACCCCGACCATTGTCTGCCCCCCTCCTCCTCCTGTCACCTCCATGACCTGCCATCCTCTTAGGCTCGGCTCACCTCTGATGGCTGCTGCTGGGGTGCAGAGTACAGGCTCTGTCTCTCAGTGAGGACAGGCGGCCTCCAAGAACTACTTCCCTCTCATACACATTGGGCCCCAATCATCCTAGTCATATAGGGTTAACCCTGCAACCAGAGCACACCCCACTTATTGATTGGCTCCAACTGTGTAGAAGAAGGCAGAGCCAGCGCTGAACATGCCTTATCCGGTCATTAGCCGGCTCCCTGTTACAGCTGGAGGATCGTGTGTGTACTGGAGATGTACGGACCAATCCTCCAATCAGGACTGCTGTCCTGGGCTAATATCATAACTTCCCATCCTAGGGGAAGCTGACACTTGTCTGCTACATGAAATATTGTCATATATATATATATATACATACATATGTACTAAATGGTCATGTGTGTGGACAGGCTGCGATACAATTGTGCAGAAGAAAGATATCCTCATTCCTTCATCATTCCCTGTGTATGAGTAGAGGGGGACTCTGCAGATAAATGGAGAATTCATACAAGAGGTCCATAGTCCACACAGAGAGAGTGCTGTGCCCAGGTGCCCCCAGGTGGCAGTGCACCCTAGGCAGCTGCCTAGTTTGCCTAGTGGAAGCATCGGGCCTGTGTACGTGTTATATCTGGCTCATCCTTGTGGAATCTGTAATTCACTGTAGTAGGAAAAGAATTAAAAAAATAACTTCTAAAGTAATATAAGTAGTTTGACTGTTGAAATATTTGTGCATTGTAACAAACACAGTTCAGTAGTGACAATCTTTTCTCTTACTGTTCATTTTTAGGAACAAGGGAAATGTGCTCAATGCATCGCCATTCTAATTAAATCTATGAAATAAGTTTTGACTGGAGTTCTGATTTCAGTTCACAGATTTATAAATCCAGAGTTTATAGCTGGAGCCCATAGTGCCAACACTTCTGAACACTGTTACATCCAATTATTTATTTACTTTATGTATGATAATATAGGGAAACAAACTAATGATAATAGAAATATGTCTGTTTTCCCCATTGAAAATAATGATTCAGTGTATACTGATAAATATTCATAAATGA